GATATGACCAATCCCAGTGGTCAGTCCTGAACACATGTACATACAAACAACACTGAATGGACTCAGCAAGGTGTGTGTGTGTGTGTGTGTGTGTGTGTGTGTGTGTGTGTGTGTGTGTGTGTAAAGCAATAACAGTTAAAAAAGAGGTCATGACTTTGAGAAGGAGTCAGGGAGGGAGACAAGGGAGGAGTTAGAAGAAAGGGTAGAAATGATGAAAATACAGAACTCAAGTGTGAAATTCTCAAGAAACTAAAACTTTCAATTAAGAAAAAACATACATTTTTAACAATGTTTTAACCATTTGGTCTGCGGACTTAGAGAAAAAGTCCCAACCTGCTTTATATTATCAGTTCTTTAATTCTCTGGAGCTCAGTGTTGCTTAATTTGCATTGACTTCAACTTCATGAAACTCAGTACACGGCAAATGAATCAGAGCGTTTGGGGGGGTAGCTGGAATATAAAAGCTGCTTCCGTCTGCTGGTGTTGCCCTGCTGAGGGACTTCTGTGCCCTTATCCCCAGTCTCTTCCAGCTCCCCTTTCATGTGCTTGCCTATCCTGCATCCCACAGTCCACAGTGACATCATTTCCTCTCTCTCTTGTTCTCTAATGAGGTCAAGGACTGTTAGAGTTTTCTGTTCCCTCTACCTGGTTTTAGCAGGCCATGGCAGGCACAACTATGACTAAGGGCCATCGATTGGGCTAAAAATTGCTCTCTTCCTCTAAAGGAAGCATCTTTTTAAACATAGAATTCCACTAGAATATAATTGAACTCTGCCACCCTCTTGTAGAGCTCACAAATATCACCAAATATTCTTAATGGTTAAGACAACTTCTACTTTACACCAATCCCAAATCAATTTAAGATGAGTAGGAAAACATTATAGCCCCTGAAACAATAAATCATTTAAAACTTGTTCCTGTCTGGTCTCCACCCACAGAGACTTGTGAGTTCTGTCTGCTTGTTCCTGTATGGTCTCCACCCACAGAGACTTGTGAGTTCTATCTACATCTCTTCATTGAGGCAGAGACACAGGCACAAGGACCCCTGGACTCGAGGAAACTCCAACCAAGGCTAGAAACAAGATGTTAAAGTAAAAGCCTTAATTGCTAATTATGGAATTGGCTGCTGTTAATAGTGTGACACGCACTGCTGGGTGAATCTTAAGAATAAAATTTATAGTTTTCTGTAAAAGGAGAAAAAAAATCATGCTTTCAGTTCATATTTCTTTCCCCAAATCCTTCATCACCAATGTACCGCTTACTTGTTACATGACTGATGTTCTTTTCTCCACACGCAGCTGGGATGAGGGAACCTGACCCTGATCAAGACCCTCACATATGCATGGCATTGTGTTAACAGGAGCCACGTGAACAGTGAAATTCAAGCGTAAGGAACTCAGGTTCCACCCCAGATCTGTGAAATGGTCACACTGGGAGCCAACGCACGTCACCCGAGATAAGGGAGGACTGGGTGGATGTTTTGATCGTGCCACAGGTAGAGGTGTGACAATAGTCTCTGAACTATTGAGGTACCTGTGGTTCATAAAACCGACTTTGAAATCACTCTTTGCTGCTGATGGCTTTCCTTTGCTGAGAATACATTTGAGGCTGAGCCATGACACTCCTCAGGCATACACTTCAATAGAAAAAAATTAATAATATAAATTGCTAATAGCTTTTGTGTGCTAAGCGCTCTTCTCCAGATTATAGCAGAGACAGGCAGAATCAAACCCACAACAGCCTTCAGGAGAAACACAACCACCCCTTGGCACACACTGAGAAAAATAAGCATTGGGAACTTATCTCACCCAAGGTCAGAAGATCCACCTGCAGCCTCCAGTTGCTCTGACCCAGGCCCTAAGCCAGTGGTTCTCAACCTTCCTAATGCTGCGACCCTTTAATACAGTTCCTCACGTTGTGGTGATCCCCAACCATAAAATAATTTTTGTTGCTACTACATAACTGTAATTTTGCTGCTGTTAGGAATTGTGTAGATTTTTGGAGATAGAGGTCTACCAAAGGGGTTGTGATGACTGTTCTATATTCCTAAAACCCATGCCAGTGTTATCTGAAGAGCTGCGTTTACCACTCGTTATCCTTCTCATTCACTCCGGGTTAGCCTGCCAAATAATTTGTCTAGATCACATTGGATTTTCTGTGAATTTCAGGGAAAACCTTTATGTATATTGATTCATCTAAATGGGATCAATGTGGGATCAATGGTCTTTATCAAATGTATTCCATTTTCAGACTACAGGAACAGCTTAGTTTGCGTCCGAACAGGTTTTGGAGTTTTTTAGGCCTTCCCCCCCCCTCTCTCTTTCTCTCTCTCTCTCTCTCACACACACACACACACACACACACACACACACAAAGCTTAAATTCTAATCTCCAATACCTCAGATGACCTTATTTGTAGACAAGGCTACAGAGGTAATCAAGGCAACTTGGGCTCTTTGAGGTGAACCATTCAACCAATATTGTTGATGTCCTTGTGAAAAGGAAGAATTTGGAAAATGATGTGAGGAGTTCCAGAGGGGCAACAGTGGTGCACACATGGCCAGGTGAGAGGCCTGGGTCACGTCCTCCATCACACCCAACAATGGAACAGCTGACAAACTCATGGCTCTGTGAGAGATGTTCAGCTTGAGCAGCTTAAGTGACCCCCACATCCTCCTGTCATATTATCCTTCCACTCTCTGCACAGGACATCAGCACCCCAGGTCCTTACTGCTCACCCTCCAGGGCATCAAGGGACAAATGGACTCACATACCCATCTATAGCGAGAAATCCAAGGGAGTCTGCTTAAGGGGAATAATGAATTTATCAGGACATAGATTGGAAAAGACAGCTCACTAAACAGAATAGGCGAATTGTCACAGGGTCCTGGAAGGCTGAGGTCCTGTCCCATGCTGTTCTGCCATCTAAGTCAGTCCGCACCATCCAAGCCCATGAGGGAGAGAGAGACTGTGGCATATGTGCCTCTCAGGTCTTAAGGGTAGCCCTGAGGCCATGCCCAGGGGCTGGTACTTCAAGGTCATAGGTGGAAAAGTATCCATCTGCCCCTTTTGTCTAAATAAGAAAGTTCTAACTAACCTAATACAGAACTACATACAATAGGAACAATTATCAAGTATTGTCCAGGAGATGGGAAAGGCAATAACATAAACAAAATAGAAATACAACCAGCAAGAACAACATCAAACAAGAGACACATACTAAATATCCAGAAATGTCCAGACCATAGGTAAATGGCATGCTACAGAGATTACTCCAATAGCTGTCCTATCCTAAAGATTCTGACTTCAGTACCTAAAGTGTTCTTAACTAAGATATGAGAAGATTATAACTATAACTGTCTACAACCCCATCAAAGACCTGAGAGGAAAATAATGTTACTTGAGAAGACAGGAAGTGTAAGCAAGCAATTTCAGAATTGTTTAAGGTACTGTACCTATGCAGTTCACTTAAAATAGAAGGTAAAGATCTAATTTTTGAAAGCTATTATTTTAAACTATTTAGGATAATCAAAAACATAAGTCAGTAGTTATTCACCTATAACAATCAAATTTGTAGATATGTTAGGTATGTTTTCAGGATCATAGAGAGATATATTTTTAGGTAGATGGTCTTCAGATACTTCAAAGACCTATAGAATAAGGCATTTAAAATATTTTGTTAACATAGGGTTTTTCATGACAGTGAGACACATCTGCTCCTGGCAACACCAATTCACTTCAGAGATGATGGGCATCAAAGAAACTCCTTATGAAGTTGCTTTCAATGTGGCAAGCCTAGCCATCTGGGCAAGAAACTGCTCTTACTTGGACTGCTTGACAGTATGTTGTATAAACTAGACATGCAGGACCCAGGGGAAAATGATCACTGAACTTCACCAAAACAGGGTGAGATGGCCCCTCAGGTTCCTGTTTCACAGAAGATACTGCCAGACGTTCTGCAGGACACAGAGGAAAGAGACTGATGAACTTTGCTAAGACAGATGAAATGGTCCTTCAAATTTCCTGTTTCACTAAAAAGTCTGCCAGAGACTCTAGGCCTGTAGGCTGAAGATGAATACCCCAACATTAGAGAAGAACTTTGGGTGACTGTCCAGGCAGCCAGATGTCTCTGTCTTTCTAGAACTTTGGAAGTTGCTTACAATGTACTTCCTGTTTACTTAGGTGATATTATATCCTTCTGGGTCTTTGATGGAGTTGAAGACTAGATAGTTATAATTATAGTTTTCCTTAGTTATGATAAAACATAAATTAGATATGAAACCTTAGACTCACAACAATAGGATAGATGATAGAATATTTTCTTTAATTTGCCAAATACAAATAGACTAGATATTGTAACTGTAATTCTTGCTTGATAACTGTTTTGTTATATGTAATTTTACTATGTTAAAAATGAAAACCTTCTGTTTTGATTAGACAGAAAAGGAGACGTGCTGTGGGATAGTCTTTCTGGGTGCTGTGAATATGTGTTGCTACCATTGCTAAAGAAGCTGCTATGGCCTATGACAAGGCAGAATAGAGCCAGGTGGGGAATCCAAACAGAGAGGCAAGGAGAAGACGGTGGAGTCAGTGGAGATGTTGAGCACTGCTGGGGGAGCAAGATGTGATGGAACACAGGTAATGCCACAGCTGTGTGTCAAAACATAGATTAACAGAAATGGGTTAATTTAAGATGAAGGAGCTACCTAGAAAGAAGCCTGAGCCATAGATGAAACAGTTTGTAATTAATGTTAAGCCTCTGAGCGATTGTTTTAAAGGCAGCTGTGGGACTGTGGGGCCAGTGCAGGACAGAGAAAAGTGTCTGACTGCACCCATCGGCATCCAGTCTGTCCACACGGTTCCATCCCAGCTAGAGGCCTCATGAAGGATTCATGTCTCACTATCAGCACCAAGAAGCACAGGACTCAAAATAAAAGCCTTTGTGATGACAGACAATGGCTTGGATTACTTTCCAGTAACACCATCATATGACCGCTCACCTGGTGCATATCGCATGCTCCCCAATGCGCTGCTCTCAGGCTTCCATAATATAATCCACTTTTCATCATCTCATTCACAATAAACCTAAGAAGACAGACAGGGTTAAATGTGTCACGGCTGACTAGGGGTTCCATTACTCTTGGCTACTTCTCGCCCTAAGTTTCTGTGTGAGTTGCTTTTCATATCACTGTGCTGCATCACTTTCTGGGGGAAAAAAAAAACTTAGGAAATGGAGGACTTATTCTGGCTTGCAGTTCAGAGGGGACAGTCTATCATGGTGGGAAAGGCATGGTGGCAGGGTTGGCGTGGTCTGTGGCAGTGTGGAGTGTGAGGCAGCCACCTGTTACCTGGCATGGAGCAAGAAGCAGAGAGGTTGAGGAAAAGTGTGAACCCAGGCTAACCCACTTCCTCCCCCCCAGTCCTCAGCTACTAAAGGTTCTACAGCTTCCTAAAACAGCACCACTACTGGGAACCGAGTGTTTAACTATGTGGGCCTGTGGGAGACACTTCATACTCAAATCATAACAATTACTAACTATGAAAATAAAACACTGGGTAACATGCTATATTGAGAAAAATCTGTCACCGTGCCAATTAGGGCTGCATCAAACACAGTGACCTTCTACTAACATCTGTCTACAGAGTGGTAACCATCCCCAGCTCTGGTCATTGATAAGGGGCCCGTGACAGAGTTAGGCTATTAGCTATCGGAATATATTGAAAATGGGTAGGCTGTGCATTTTGCCCTTTGATTTTAATTTCGTGTCCCCACAGCATCTTGCCGAGTTCCAGTGGACAGTGGGCACTTAAAATATTAACATATCTGACATGAGTAATGAGCTGTGTTATAATTGGTGAAATTATATGAATAATTAAAGTTTCAGTCAAAGTCTGTAATAGAGAACAGGGCTTAATTCAACTTAGAAAGGGCACGGAGTCCTTGCTAATGACAAGACTGAGGGCTTGTTAATACTCTAGGAAAAGTGTGGTCATTAACACTTGCCTACTTTGCCTCCCAGTGTGGGTGTGTGTCCCCTAGGCCTTACCATGTTGGCTCATGAAACTCAACTCTCTTATTTTGTGTCTACTTATTGGATGGTCCTTAGTCCTCATAGCCACAAATTCATAGTTTGGGGAATGCACAATAGTGGGAGGCATAGTTCCTTCTCTAAAACTGAAGAGTCTTAGAGGGAATGAGGGTGGATAAGAGCATGTAAAACAATAAAATGTGCCCTTACAGGAAGGCTGAAGGCCAAGGCAAGGACTGGCACTTCAGCTCCCTTAAAGAGCAGTCATCTAACGGTTAGGGAGAACACCTACAAATAAATGTCTAAAATAATGATCATTACGGGTGACGTTCTAAGATCATAAAACATAATAGATGTTGGAGATAGCTTTGAATAAAATCACTGAAGCAGAGACCTGCCTGTCAACACATTATCCTTGCATTAGCCGGAATCTGACATAACAGGACGCTATCTGCTGCTATGAGTGAGTAAAATATGACTTACAGACTTCAAAATCCATTCTTACAGATTATAGAAAATCTGTAAGAATGAAATTCCATCCAGATTACAGCGACAGCTTATTAACAAGCCAGGGGAACATATTCCGCCCCTCAACCCTGCCCCGCTTACCTCTCAATCCACAGTTTTCCAACCTGTTCTCCAAGGACATGCATTTCTTAAAGCCGACAGGTGGGAGCCCCACACTCAAACCTACACCTTAATCAGATCTCACAGCACATTGTTCCACATTGTTCACATCACAGGAAAACCAGTCTTAAGAATCCTCGCCCCCCCATTGACACCTGGGACAGTTGGAGAAGCTAGCCCTGGGGTCATGGGAATATCCAAGAAGAGTCCCAGTGAGGGCCCAACATTGATAGTGTAGTAAAAACCAGAGGCTTTGAACCAGACCAATGACTCTTTGCAATGAACACTTACAAGTAAAGATACACAGACAAAGGGGTTCACGGTGTGACTCACTGTCACACTGCAGCTTCCATGGTGAGATTTTTAATTTTTTTCCTTTTCTTTCTTTTTTTTCTTTATTTTGAGGAGTTATAGCAGGGGAGAGTGGACATGAAGGGACAGGGAAATGAATGAGATCAAGATGTATGATGTGAAAGACACACAGAATAAATAAAAAGTTTTTAAAAAATTAATCTTAAACTGTAATCACTTTGATTTCCCATCCACAGGGCAATCTTTCCATCCAAGGACAAAACTATGGTGTTTTGGATAAAGGGTCCTGAATGTCCTGTCCTCAGGCATCATTTTACCAGAAACTAGGTGCTTTCAGGGGAATCTTATATTTGGCACAATAGCCTTATAGAAGCTCATGACACAATTAGGGCCTAATACCCACCTGGAAATAGCAGATATTCTCAAATATCTAGAGTTTGTGGGTACTTGTTTATGATAGTGTGTTGCTTTGAAATATTACCACAGTCCATCATGATTTTCTCTTAGACTTGTCTACGGGTAGCCCTGAGCTGGGTGCTCCATATCTCTGCAAAAGCGCGGCAATAAGGACTCCATTTGGTTAGAAAGTATCAGCGTCCAGGAATCTAAATGTATCCAGTGGAGACAGAGCTCACTGAACACTCACAGAACAAACACACACAGAAATAAAGGGAACCACTGGAATTTAAATTGACAGTTCATATAATACTCAGTGATAAATAATGGAATTACATGTTTCTGAGGGATAAACAACTTGGGGGTAACAGAGAAGACACACACTTCAGGAATACTACTCCTCTTTCACTTTCACTTCAACGTTTCAAAAAGCAAACATGATAAAACCATCTCCCCAGTGGAACGCTGGCGGCAAATTCCACAGGACAGAGCATCATTCTCTTTTTAGACAGCCTACAATTGAATTATTCTGATTCAAATGAAACTTCCCTTGATGTGATTATAGTTTATGAAGGTTTAACTTTCAAATAGAGAGGTTACATTAGGGAGAGGCAATGCACAGGATCCTGTACAATCAAAAGACCTTGATGAGTACACGTTCCGTGCTGCTGTGTGGGTCTGGGGGTGGAGGAGACAGAGCGGGGAGGAGGAGAGAGATGGGTGAGAGGGAGAGAGGGAGAGACAGGGGGAGAGAGGGGGAGAGAGGGGCAGGGGGAAAGGGAGAGGGAGGAGAGGGACAGAGATGGGGGAGAGGGACAGAGAGGGAGAGAGGGGGAGAGGAAAAGAGGGGGTGGAGAAGAGGGGCCAGAGGGAGAGAGGGGTGGGGGGAGAGGGAGAGAGAGAAAGGGAGAGGGGGGGAGAGGGAGAGAGAGTTTAATTCTATGGCAATGGGCAATTTGCCTGCATGTATGTCTGTGCACCACGCACATGCCTCATACTCATGGATGTTAGAAGAGGATGTAGGATTATCTGGAACTGGAATTACAGGTGTTTGTGAGCTGCCATGTGGGTGCTAGGAATTGATCCCAGCTCCTCTGCAAGAGAACAAGTGTTCCTAACCACTGAGCAGTCTCTCCAGCCCCTGACACATTTTTTTTAATATGAAATTGTAAGGAGAAAGTTCATAGAAGAAAAACAAGTAATATGTGAGCCGCATAAGAAGATGTTGCTAAAATAAATGGATACAAGTTTAACAAGGTAAGATGGCATTTCCTCTCCAGCTGGCAGGCCCTTGGCTTGTGAGCCAGGAAGATGGAACATGGCAGTGAACGTCCTCTTGTTGCAAGAGTGTAGCTATGCAGCTTCCTGGGGGTATGAGCCAGCCAGCACCCCAACTGTTCTCTCACTTCCCTCCCACCTGTAGCAATCCATCCTGCCAGCTTGCTCACAGGTGAGCAGAAAATGTCACAGTCGTCAGTGCTCACTGCCACACTATACACATGCAGTGTGCGTTTTAAATGCCCACTAAAAGAGCAATGGTTCTCCAGCACATCTGTAGAAGAGGAGTCTCTGCAGCTGTGAGGAGGAATGGACATTTCAGTAGCTACTATGGAAATCACTGCAGATGTTCCTACCTGTTGATATGTTTAAAATGTAAGCAGTCCCTAACGACGCACAGGTAAATTCTCTTTTATGTGTTGTGCGTGGACAGGTAGATGGGTGGACACTAATCACCTGTCCCCTCACCTTCCTTCCTTAGCTTAGGTATCTCTAGACAGAAATATCGCAAATTACTTTCTCTGGGAAATGTGATGTGTTTCAGATACAGAAAGAGTTCTTTCCACATATGAACTTGATTTTTAAATTCACCCTGTAAATATCTTGAGTTTTATTAAGAAAATCAAGTTGATGTCTTTAATAATTAATAGTTAAAGATGAGAAGAAAGTGATGGCAGGGAAATAGTTGACAAATGAATAAAACAAAACAAATATCCCCAAATGCAAATATGTTATAAGGGATTTAACACAGCACCAAGGAAAGATAATGAGACTCTTATTACTGTGTTAGATAAAACAAAATAGGCCCTGGATCCTCAGTTTCCTGTTTACCAAAATAGATTCCAGGGCTGGTGAGGTGCTCGCTGGTAAAGAGATGCTGTCAAGCTCACCCAGTTTAATCCCCAAAACACAAACTGTCCTCCTACTTCCAAATATGTACCACAACATGAGTAGATATACACACAGGTATGCACGCACACACTACATAAATACAAAAAAAAAATAGATTCCAGATGTTACTAAACAAAACATTGAGCTATTTAATAAGCCATAAGACGATTGGAGGTAAGCATAAACAAGTCTTACATAAACTAAATGCATTTTCAAGTAATTCAAAATGAAATGGCAAGGAAAAGTGATCTGTGGCAGTGATATCGGCTGAATTTATGTTTGATGTTTCCACCTCATCAACGACAAGGGAATTCACAGCGCGGTTTTCAGGGAAAGCACAGTCAGCTTTCTACATAGATACCAGTAAAGACAGCCAAGCAGCTTCAGGGTAGGAAACAGAGGGGCTGGGAGCCTATAGCCTCAGGAATGTCCACTAACCAAGAGAAGGCAAAGAGATGGAAGACATTTGCTGAAGTCTCCTAGGAAAGAGAAGGTCCTGGGGCAGATGTCTCCTCTCTGAAGGTATAAAATAGGAAAATTGAAGCCTAGGGACATTGAGGAAACTCTACAGCTACATGAGGAGAGGTTGGAAGAGTAGGGGAGAGTGGAGAGTAATCAAAGGGATGGAGTGAAATGAGCACGGGGTTTGGTAGCGTGGTGGGAATGAAGCAAGCCTTAAATGCATTAGAATCGGGACCTAAAACTCCCCAAAGCTGCATTTTTACCTATAAAACCCACTAGATTGCCTTGATGTGAGCCTTCCTTAACTTAAAATACAAAATAGTCTAAGGAATGCATATGAAAGTAGATATTTTCTCAACAATTTTCTTCTTCCACTTTTTAAAAAATATTTTAAAGACTGCTTTAGAGTCATCCACAGACAGCTCAAAATTATGGAAATCCATAGTTATAAAACAGGAAGAAGCTCCTCTATTTATAAATAATTCATGATGGGACTCTGCCGCATTATAATCTACCCTCATATATTTAAAGTGGAAACTGAGTTAAGAACCATTTATATTCTATTAATGTAAAAGTAATAGCCTTTGACTCTGAGGATCCCATAGTGAGTAAAGCTGCTGTATGTGAACTGTCTCCCTCAATCGAGGAAACCAAAAGAAGCTTGTGTTGGCGGGGCTCCCAGGAGGATGCTTTTAGAAGGAGCTGACGTCCATCCTCAGCCGGATGACACTGACATGGGCCGGCGTTGCCGTCTTCCACAGTCAAGCCTGTGGCCTGCATCCAGGATACCAATGCCTACCACTCACTTGTCACCCCATCCCCGACGCTGCAAACCCCACACACTCTGTCTGGCGGCCACAAGTTCTGCAGCCTCGCTGCCAAGTGAGTTTTAGACTTCTCGGGAGACAGATTGAGCTCGAAAGTGCCCACATTTACCAAAGCTACAACATTTGGAGGGATTTTAAACACTTGGATACTTTGGTTTAACATGGGAAAGTGGGAATAATAAACACCCACACCACAGATTTCTAAGTGGCAAACAAGAAAGTTCTCTATATTCTTTTAGCCTTCTTCTGACCTGTCTGAGCCTCATCAGCTCTTCTGTTCTAGAGAAAGTCCCCTGTTCTGCTAATTTATAAGCCAAACCATCTGCTTCCCAAGTGTACGATCTCTCAAAAACTCCTTAAAGATATGCCTGGTCCTCTGAACAGCATTCTCACACCTGCACGTGGCCCAGCCTAGACCCTGCCTCACTTCTGGTCTCTTGGTCACCTCTTCACGTCAGATGTACCCATGGGCTACAAGGCACAGATTCTGACAGAAATAGCCCCGTATTTCCTAAGTAGAACTAAACTTCAGTACCCAGGTCCTGTTCTCAAGTGCTTAACATGGGATACTTCCTCTGTCCCCTCTGATTGATGTAAAGCTTCTCAAAAGCCACGGTTAGGTTTTACAATTCAGGACTGTCATTCACGTGAAACCTGGAGTCATTTCTTCGAAATGTAAACACCAGTACAGCAGCCATACAGCCTATCAACACGTCATTGACGCTTCCATACATGTTTAGTACAGATCTGCCAAGTGTATTTCAGAAGTAAGATACAGAACAATTTAATGGAACAGTTGCAGAAACATGAAGAGCAAAAGACAGAAGATGAAGAATTCATGTATATTGAGTCCTGTACTGGTTACTTCTGTGCTGCTGTGATTGAAACACCAAAGAAAACACTTTAGAAAGAAATAACTTCCACTGTGTTTCACAGAATTCAGCCCACGGCCACTTGGAGCCATGCATTTGAGCAGAACATGATGGTGGTGGGTGTACAAAGAGGAAGAGGTCCTCCACCTCATGGAAGATGGGAAGAAAAAGAGAAAAGATGTGGGCTGTGTATGAGCTCTAAAGTCATTTCTCACAGTCACCGACTTCCTCCAGCTAGGGGCCCATATTAGCCAGGGTTCTCTAAAGAAATAGAATTTATAGAATGAATAGATATAGATAGATGATAGATAGATAGATTGATTGATTGATTGATGATAGGTAGGTAGATAAATAGATGATTGATAAGTGGATAGATGATAGGTAGACAGATAATTATAGATAGGTAGATAGATGATAGATAGATAGATAGATAGATAGATAGATAGATAGATAGATAACAAGAAAGAGAGAGAGAGAGAGAGAGAGAGAGAGAGAGAGAGAGAGAGAGAGAGAGAGAGAGGATTTATTAGAATGGCTTATAGGCTGTGTTCCAGCTAGTCCAACATGGGCTGTCTGCCAATGGAAGGTCCAAGAATCCAGTAGTTGTTCCATCCATGAGGTTGAATGCATTAGTCTTCAGTATATGCTGGCTCTAACACCAGTGAAAGAATGGACTTGGTAGCCAAAGTGAGGGCAAGCAGGCAAAGAGAGAGAAAGCATCCTTCTTCCATGACCTTTGTATAGGCTTCCAACAGAAGGTGCGGTCCAGATTAAAGGTTGATCATCCCACCTCAGAATAACTGGATTAGAGATATGTTTTCCTACCTCAAAGATCCAGATTAGAAGTGTGCTGTATAATATTAATTAAAGATGTGTTATATTTGTTTATGCAATGGAACACTTGTTTAAAAATAGATGCAAAGCTGTGTTGCATTCTTTTTTGTTACATTTGTTTAACTCTGTGAAACTGTGTTTCTGTGCATGTCTAAAACACCTGATTGGTCTAATAAAGAGCCAAACGGCCAATAGCAAGGCAGGAGAGAGGATAGGCGGGGCTGGAAGGCAGAGAAGATAAAGAGGGGGAAATGGTTATCATTACAGAAAACCACAACCAATCAAAATGCAGCATCTTGGAGCCCAGTCCCAATGGATACATCTACAAAACAACTCCTGCACCTAAAGCTCAGGGAAGATTGTAGAAGAGGGGGCGGAAAAATTGAAAGAACCAGAGGATCAAGGCATTTACTGTGAGACTGTGTCTCATAGAAATACGAGAAGCTACATTCATAACATCTTGTAATGAATTTCTAAGCGGTCTTATTAAGTAAAAAACACAGAGCCAAATATAGGGGGGAAGCCTTAGAGATCAGGGAAATAAGAATAGCCACCAGCCAACCTTACCTCACCATGCTGCAGCTTCCAAAAGTGAGCTACTTCCTGTCTACCCATGCCTTTATTGCCTTACTGTTCTGCCCTCGTATTGGCTCTTAGCCCAGCTACTTCACTTCCTTGTCACTTGCCTGTCTGTACAGACCTCCAGGTCTCTATGGTTGATACTGGGATTAAAGGCGTGTGTCACCAGGCTTCGCTCTGTTTCCTAGTATGGCCTTGAACACACAGAAACCCTGCCTGCCAAGTGATCAGATTAAGGGTGTGTGCTACCACTGCCTGACCTTTGTGTTTACTTAAAATGGCTTGCTATTTTCTCTGATCTCCAGAAAAACTTTATTTATTAACGTACAAATAAAATATCACCACATTTCAGCACAAATAAAATATCACCACAACGTTTCACCAACATGACTGCCCAAATGTGCGCTAGACAAGGACAACAACTCACGTGCTAGCGTCAACTGCAGGAAGACTACACAACTACAGGCAGCTAAGGAATGCTAAGAGTGGGAGAAATAGCTGCACCCAGGAAGAGTACACCAACTGGTTATCCAACACCAAAGGGTCCGCCCTGAAAACACACATACAGAGAACATTATAGGACTGAATAGGTTATATTTAGAAATATATATAATTAATGACAAAAGGGACCATGAATTTGAAAGAGAGCAAGGAAGAGTATATAGGGGGCGGTGAAGATGGGAAAGGGAAGGGTAAAGTAATACCATTATATTACAATCTCAAAAAAAATTTAAAGTGATTTAAAAAATGGTTCGTTTTGCATGTCAGGTTTTCTACATTTCAGCTTTGTTGATTACATTCTCTTACCACCATTTAAGCTGTTCTTTTCCCCCAGATACCTTATCAATTGGAAAATAATACAGATATTGATTATATTCAACTTTTTTGGAAGAATACTTGAGAGAATTCAGGTGATTTCTTCTTTCTGAATCCAAGTGATGTTTTTCTGGGGTTTCCTTGTGGTTGTTGCTCTTGTGGTTGTTGTTGTTCTTTGGTGGTTTTTTGTTTGGTGGGATGTTTGTATGTTTGTTTTTGCCCTCAAGTCCAGCTGTAGCCAGCACAAAACGCTGTAAAGAAAAATAAAGGCATTGTCAATAATGTTTACTAGATAGCTCATTTTGTCTCTGATATATGACTGTGACACTCTTCAGGAGAAGAGAAGTTTCTTCTTTTTCTTGGGGGATTCGTCTCAGTTTTTATTCAAAGAGCTTCAAAGGACACATAATTTGATCTCATAATAGTCCATAGCTACTAGCCAGACAATGGCTAACCTCAAGGAATCACCCCGAAATCTAAAGGAAATAATTAAGACTCCCTTTAAGAAGCTGGATTGTACGTGGTCATAAGCACTTAAACAACCATCAGTTTAACCTAGCAGCTCCCAAAGCTGAGGTACTGAGCTTGGTGGAACATTCTGCACATTGGTGGGAGAGTTTCTTGTTCAGTAAGTGGATACTGTGGACCGTCCACTGACATCTTGTGGACAGGTACCTACTAGGAATGTCTAAGCTTCAACAATGTGTTAGAGCCCACCCCACCCTCACCCCTACCCCTGGGAGGTTCTAGTCCCTTAGGGCACCACTGATTTCCAAGCACTTCCATGCTGCAGCAATCATCACCTGCCCCTTACACACCACATTGCCACTGTGTGTTTTTCTTCATTCAAATACAGCAGGGGGTGGGGTGGCTCAGCGGTTAAGAATGCCTGCTGTACAAGCGTGATGAACTGAGTTCAGATTCCTAAGACTCACAGAAAAGCTTGGCATGGCTGCACATGCCTATAGGGCAGACACTGAATGAGGGGTACGTGTGTGTGTGTGTGTGTGTGTGTGTGTGTGTGTGTGTGTGTGTGTGTGTGTGTGTATGTGTACAGGTGATAGGACAATCTTGGGAGCTAGTGAGCCAGCCTAGCCAACATGATGAATGATGGAGCAGAACACCCAATGCCCTTTTCTGGCCACAGTACGAACTCAGGGATGTGTGCACCTGCACACACATACATACAACACACATACACAGCACACACAGAGACTCATACATATTATATACACACAAATACAGCCAAAGGGTCTGGAAACAAGAGCTCAGGGCTAAAACGCTTGCTTAGAATGCAACCAAACAGGGTTCTGTCCTAACACCAGAATGAGAAACAAATGAACGCCATAGAGGAGGCATGCAGTTTGTCTTCTTTAAATTTATTTGTGCCCATAACAGAGTATGTAAGAGCACTCACTGTTAGTGCTAAGCATTGATTCTCCAAGGACGAAGATTGGAGCCTTAACTCCCTGCTTCCTGCTCCTTCCCTTTCCCTGGAGCTCAGTGAGAGCCAGTCCCTCTCCAGTGGCATGTTTTACAGGTGTTACTCCCTCCCTGAAATGAGAAATAAGGCACAATGCTTGATTTCCGCTCATTCCACCTCCCATTGGCCATGGCTGCAGAACAGTCAGGCTGAGCAGTGCTTGGGCTCAGCAAAATAAACCACGGGCCACTCGGGCTAACTGCTCTTCTGTACTAGGCTCTCGGCATGAAGCTAGGCAAGAAAGGGTGCGGCGTTACACTGTGCACACAGCTGCCCCATGACAGGGGATGAGCAAAGCTACATCACATGCGGCCTACCCTTTCAAGGGATTGTGCCCGGAAGGCAGGAAGGAGGAATGCAAGGGTCAACTGTGAGCGGGAAGGCTCCAAGTTTGTTGATTTTCCCGGCCTGGCTGCTCTTTATTTCCACCTCTAACATTCCTCTGCTGTGCACACAGCCTTTCCTTTGACCAATATTGACATTAGTCCAATAACCATGACTGCAAGAGCGAGGGAGAGAGGGGCTGCCTCCGGGTTCAGATACAAATCCACAAAAGGACAGGGGTGAGGGCTATCCTCAGATACCACTAAGTACTCAGAGTGAAAACAAGGGTTCAGAGAGCGAACACATCAGTATGAGTACTGGTAAATGATTACATTTTTAAAAGGGACATTGTTATTTAAGGTTGGGAGAGGAGGAGGTAGGGGCAGGCACAGGGAAGTCGATTGGCGGAACGAAGTTACTGTTAGGAAGGGTGCTGCAGCACGGTGAGGCAATCACAGAACAGTTTCGAATTTTATATTAAAGACAGCTAGAGGGAAGTGTCTGTCATGTTTTCACCGCACACAAAAGGTAAACAGTGAGAAGTGGGAGGTTCAACTTGATCTGAACATTATACAAAGCAGCGGATCGTGTTATAAAAAAAAAATCATTGTGGTTTTTATGTCTCAATGTAGCTCTTAAAATGTTTAACCAGATACATTTTGAAAACAGAGAAAGTAGAAGGTCAACTCTAAGTTCGCTTGCCCCTTCCTAGTATTCACAGAAGAAGAAAGGGTCAAGGGTACAGATATGTCCTCAGCTCTAAAACACTCCCCAGTCGTGGGGCTGTGCAGCTGAGCTTCAGCACGAGTAAAATTAAGACAAAGAAATCCTCTTGAGATTAGAAAGAGCCAGGGAAGCTCAAAGACACAATAAAGATGGATTCTCCCAACAGTCCCCTGATCCAGGGCCTTCTCCACAAGCAGGCTTCTCCTAGGAGAGGCTGGGTGCACACCGGGTTTCTGCTGTTCTCCCAGCCAGGCCCTGCCACCCCTCCCCTTGTGTTTACCTAGTCCGTACAGTTCCACCCGAGCAGCCCACCTCCTCTCACTGATCTGTTTAGCATGATTCCTTTATCACTACTCCTCTACTCAGCATTTTGCAGTTACCTCTATTACTCAGCAATGTTGTCTAAAAACCCATTGCGACTTTTCTATCACTCTGAACTTCTACACAGTTCAAAGGCTGGCCACAGGAGTCCGACTGCCTTGTCCAGAACCTGACCATACTTGCTTCATCGCTGCAAAACCAAGTGTGTGGCTCAGGGTCTTTGTCTCCAACCCCTGCCAAATGGCATCACCAAAGAGGTGGCTGCGACCATCAGAAGGCTCACAGTAATACAAGAGTGGGAGCCATAGGCCTAGGCCCCCACCCCTCAGCCCGCGATATGATGTGTTGTCTCCCCAAAAGAAAGCTACTTCACCCCTTTACTCTACATGCTGTCGCCACGCTAAAGATGGAGGGCAGCTCACTCACATCAGAGAGTAACCAAGCAGTCTGTGGATGTAGCTTTTCTGAAATTCTTGTCTTTGTGGGATTGTATGCTGCCACCTGGTGGAGAGACAAAGATTTGTTCCAGTTGCCCGAGGCACCCACAGGGAATCACACACTTGTGCATGGCACCCACATTGCCCATGCTGTCTTCTGGCCACTCACCCAGCAGCCATTCTGAGACTCAGAACAGCTGTCATAAGCTGTGTTTGTGTTCCAAGCATCCTTACTTGACTCCATAACAGTCTCAAAGTACAGGGAGTAGGGACGCCTCAGCATATCACTACAACCATTCTTATTGTATTATTTTCTGCATACTTTACTGATTTTAACTGCAATTTTCCACAAATACGTAGGCATAAGAAAGATCATGCAGGATCCAGTACTGCCCAGTTTCACACCTCTACACTGTGCCTGCCATCAGAAAACAGAGAGGGACAAATGCTGGCATAGTTATAATCCATGACAGTGGTTATAATCCACAAGAGTGGTAGGATGAAACATAAAATATAGATGTGCATGGCATTTGAAAAGGGTTTTCCTTTAAGCTAGAAAAAAAAGTTAAATAGTTGATACCATGAAATACTTTAAAACTTTAAACATATGAAATAGCAAAACAAAGATTGAAAAGCCAGTAATCTCCTCCCAGAACACTGAGGGAATATACTTAATATATTTTTAGATTTTTATCAGCTTTTTTGTCAGAGTATTGAGTTCTATAATGAGAACCATATTTTTGATATATTCTATTTCTGAGCTTAGATTCCAAGCCAAGGACAAATTTATATGGAATCCCAGAATATGATATGGCATAATTTCATAAATAAAGCTTAGAAAAGATAACACTTCATGATTCCAAAGTACTCACCCCCAAATAGAATCTCAGCACACATGGGATCCACGAAGACAGGATAACTGAGGACACGAGGTGCCCATTTTCAAAGGTGACGGAGCCCAGCAGTGAGGGTTACCATAGTGGTGACTAGCACCCATCCTATAATAACCCTTGGATCCGTGACTACTCTATCTAGAAGGAACATAGGTGAGGGCCAAGATGCCCAGATGAGAAAATGGATTTCCCTTCTTCATTTGCTGTGGAAGAGCACAATGCTGCATCTTGACATCCCTCAAGACTCTAAGCTGAGATCACTGTACTACATGCTGTTCATGGGCTGGGTGTTAAGGAACAAACCGATAATGATACACTTTGGCTCTCCTAGATCCAGTCCTCAGATATCTTCCCCAAATTTTGATGAACACACACACACACACACACACACACACACACACACACACCAAGCCCTTCTGAATCCCTTTCTTGGGCCTCTAAGGATAAGTTATCTGTGCCCATATCATAACCAAGAAACTCTCCAATACTAAACTCCAGGAGGCAAATATTCTCTAAGGTAAAAAGAATTATTGAAAATCTTGAGTCTCTTCAAAGAGACCCATGTCACCACTGGCATGCACTGCCTGGCAGTCACAAAATCTATCCATTCTGGGGGAGGGGTTGAGGATGAAATCTTCCAGAACAACTTTAAGACTTGTGCTCTATATATTGCTGGACAGTCTAGCCAGCCCAGGTCTAGTCGAGAAGTGGCCTTACTCTTGAGTTTCTGGGTACAATATAATCTTTGCAGAATGCTACTTTAACAACACCTGGTTTGTAGACTAACCTCTCAGATTTATAGACATGCTATCACATTTGTTTCTGTATATAACGATATATTTAATCAGTCAAATTTAACATGGTTATCTGTCAAGTCTTAAATCCAAACAGAAATGTTTCAGCTTCATCTTAGGATGTGAGGCGAGTAGACAGACGTGTTGCTACCAAAGTTGGGGAAAATATGGAGATACAGTGAATTTTCCAGTGTCTTGCAGAACTGATAAGAACCTATGAAGTCTGGCCATGAGTCTGTGGCAAGCCAGTGTGTTGGCAGTAGGAATAAAACACATGAGAGAGCAATAAGGCATGTCCCCATCTAACGGCAGGGAACACAGAACATAAGTGACCCACAAACTGCTGCACTGAGGGGCTGGAAGTTTGACAACTCCAGAACCTGTGCTTCTCCCAGCATGGGGCAACCTCGTGTGTGAGAGGTCATGACAGGATCAAGCTTCCTCTTTATCAATGCTTGAACATGGCCAGTTGGAATGCTCAGAGGATGGGGGTAAAGGTGTAACACGTGGTTGTCAGTATCATCAAATTGAGAGGATCTAGCATCACCAGGAAACAAAACTCTGCACATGCCTGTGACGGAGTGTCTACATGAGGTTGACTGAGGTGGGGAGAAACACTGTTAGTGCCTGTGGTACTATTCCCTGGGCTCAAGTAATCTCAGCACTGGCATTCATCCCTCCCTGCCTCCAGATGGCAGCTGTCCCACCATGACAGACAGTAGCTCAATTGTGAACCAAAGTAAACTTTCTTTGTTTACATTGTTCTTACCAGTACTTTTGTCACGGCAACAAGAAAAGCAACTAAATACACAATGTGTGTGTGAAATAATAGTGATCTGGGTGTGGCTTCATTTCAGGAAGTCATTGCTCTCCAAGTTCATGTTTCTGCTGTGCCACTCATGATAGCCAAGATATGGAACCAGCCTAGACGTCCCTCCACACACACTTGGAAAAGGAAACTGTTCTACACAGACACTATGGAACTTTATTCAACAAAAAGAAAATGAAATTAAGACTTATGCAAGAAAATGGATGGAGAGGGAGATCATGACATCCAACAAAATACGCCAGGTTCAGAAAGACAAATATTGCATGTTTTTTTTCTTGTAAGTGAAACCTGAATTTGAATATATTTTATGTTCATATGAAATGAAATGAAATATGAAGGAAATGAATATATGTAGGAAATTAAAGTAGTAGGAAATATATAGTAGGAAATGGGTCTATGAGAGGGAGGAAAAGGTTTGGAGGGAGAGGAGGAACAAGAGGAGGGATGGAATATATATACATATATATTCATATAAGCAGAAATGGGATCATTAGAGGGGATGATGGGGGGCAGCAAGCAGGGAGAGAAGAGCTGTGTATGAGATATAAATATGAAAAATATAAAGCATACACGTGTGTGAAAATTTCACAATGAAATCCATTTCTTTGTAAGCTACAAACAATGGTGTAGACTGCTGTGCTCAATAGGACCCCTTTCTTCAGGACACAGAACACTGCTAGTCTTGGAACCTGTGGAGTTTCTGTGGAGCCTCCTCACCCTCTCCGTTCTCACTGCTCTACAAGACTGCAGGTCAACAGAACGGAAGCAGAGCTCAGCCACTCAAAACCCTGCATTCCCCCACCTATGAGGAGTATGGCTGACAAGTCAGATTCAAGGTTTGAATGCCCAGTCAGCTTGAGACTCTTACCCAGAACCTGTGAGCCTCCACCTCCTCAGCCATGACTGTTGTGAGGAGAAGGCATGCAAACATGAAGAATCCAGACACGTGGCTCGACCTGAATCCACATTCAGACGTTCAGGTTTTCCGATTCCTGAGTTCACTTCCTAGAAGAAGAGGAAGCAGAGGTGAAACACCAAGAGTGCTGCGGGCCGCAGGAATATATCATAAGAACTCAGCTGGTTATGGCAAAGTCACTACCTGGAGGAATCAGGGAATTCCTCCAGAGGAAGCCAAATCCCAAGGAGTTTTTGGTGTTACTTGGCTTGTTATATATCAGCTGTCTTCTGTTATGAAAATCATGTGTGCCTTCATAGTTTTCCCCAATTGACTTTTCCCTAAGAAGGGCTAACAGTGTGGACTGATCACTCTCTGGACATACACATTTCAGGTATTTGGAGAACAGCCTCAGGAAAGGCTTTCTCTGGAATCAGATATCTCCCTTGGCCACTTTTAAGGACTAGCAGTAATAACAGTCCACATGCAAGTCTCCTGATTTAAGGTAAATTCCACAAGGAGACACCACCTAGGTCAGGTGGATGTTAAATAATAGCTTTACACAATTCAGCTCGGACCCCTCTTTCTTACAGCCTTACTAACTTTATAGACCACTAACTCCTTACCTAACCACTTCTAGGAATATTTAGATAACCTCCTGCACTGACAGCTATGCTCAGCCAGAACCCCAGTTCAAGCCTCCCTGTAATTATCATCATTAGCAGCATCCGGCCAGGTCCATCCCCAGATGGAGGAGAGTACTTTATAAGAGATACCTCTGTATTCTCTAAGAACAGACTTAACCATCCAGGCTACCTGTTTGAGAAGGCCTGGCGGATGTGCCAATTAAGCCTTACTTCCTCCTTTCCCAAACCTTACCTCCAGTTCCAGATCTCCCTTTAACTATCACCAGAGGCATCTAGCTATACACAGGTTGCCTAGCGACTGAGCACACTTTCCCCCACCCTGCAGAAAAACGGCAGATAGCTTGGACAGATAGGAGCCACAGGAGAAAAGAAGACAGTTTTACTTTCTCCCATTGACCTAGCAACTTACAGATTCTTAACATTTTCTACCAATCACGTTTAAGATTATAGTTGAGCACATAAGAGCCCTCTTCTTAGATATTACCTGAATTCAGCCTTTAGTTAATTCATTTCCCCATTGGTCACTTCCCTTTGGGGTTGCAAATGATAATTAATAGTTATTGCCTCCCTATGTGATTCTTATTACCCTTCCATTTGACCCTGGAAGCTTGGCTTTATATACCAGGACTTCCAGGGCACGGAGGGTCGGAGAAGAGAAAAGATAATGGAAGAACTAGACGGGTAAGAACTTGAGAGGAACAAACTGAGATGGGGAAGAACTAGATTGAAGGCTAGAAGAGAGTACTAGAGGAATGAGATGGAAGATGAGGATGAGCCAGATGGGGAACACCAAGATGAGGAAGAATGAGATGAGGAGAGAGAAAGAGATGGCAGAAAAGATGATATGGGAAGGAACAAGATGGATGAGAACCTAGAAGGGGCAGAACAAGATGAAAGAATTAAGATAGAACCCAGAGGGGACCGCGGACAAGTGTAGAGAGAAATCAGGCAAGAAAAGACCTAAATATGAGAGCAGAATATAAGCTTGTAACTGACATAGAATAATAAAGTATATGGACTAAGGAGTTTCGTGTACATAGATTCATTTCTTCTCATCAAAGATTAATTATCAGCTGGTTGTAGATTCTTCCTGGACCCTGGGTGGGGACTATCGAGGGGCTGGACCCCCTTAGTCCCCGATACAAGAGTATAGTCATGGGGCTTCAGAGCTCATGGAGAGGAAGAAGTTAAACAGCGCCGCCGACAGAAACAGCCAGTACTGAATTGAAGTAAAGGAGCTGGCTTGAAAAAGCTAAGGACTTCTTCCATTGCTACTGCACGTTTCTTCTGAACCCCAGGACTATCGGAGTGAGAGGGGCCTTGAGCAAGAAGAGATGACTAAGGACCCACAATGCCTTCGGTTGTGATTCCATTCACCTCCAGTAAACTGAAATTCTAACAGTCACAGAAACTCACATTTTTCCCATTAGAAAGGGGAATAGATATATGACCTGATAGTACATTCTTCCTATTAGAATAAGAGAGAAAGAGTCCAGTTTTCTGGGGATAGAGGGGAAGAGATACAGACAAGCAATCTAACCCTTCATTGTGCGGCTTTCCTTTAGGGGATCTGAACAAATGTCTCTTGACCCCAGATAAGGCATCAAAACATTCCAAGGAATCAATCCCACCCCAACTGAGCATGGGCAGCCAGTGAGCTTCTTGGGGTTACTTACAGGATCGTGAGTGACTTGTGTCCACAAAGTCCACCCCTGCCGAGGGGGATGACTTGAGATCTGCAATTTCTTGCCCACCATGTGGACAGTGTCACCAGGCTCCACGTCCTCAGGAAGGGGATCATTCATGAGTCTTGCAGTTTTCTTAGGAGTGTTGGGGACTTCCCCTCTTTCCCTCCAAGGGGGAATGCTTCAGTTTGGAGAAAATGGCTACACCATACCTACTCCCTTTTCCACAGAAGGTGATTTATAATGGCTGGTACGCATACAAAGACCTTTTCTTATACTTCAGGAAGGCCCAGAACTCTGCCTAGAATTTCTGTGTAAACGGTGGTACAGGTTTGCCAAAAATAGGTCTGCTAGCTCTTGAGTTTAACTTCACCTAAATCATCAAGCAGTAAATTGTGCTGTTCACTTTCAGAATGGCAGCCTGAATTACCCCTAACTTCCTCTTGGGAACCTGCTGTGAACACACCAAGCCACTGACAATTCACCCTCCCCTACTGGTTTATTTCAGGACAGTAAAGGTGACAGCCTAGGTCACAGGGTCTACTGTATAAAAAAGCCCATTTGCCTGTATTTGGCCTCCATCCAAATCTAGAGTCATGCTGTGCTCAGGTACAGTCACTCATCATGAAGACAGGACTGAGAGTCAGGGAGCAGCAGGCAGACAGGGCCTGGAGCTCTTAGAAATGACTAACATAGCTCACAGAGGCATAGAGAACCAAATAATGGCTAAATTTAATGTTTTTTTTTTCATAACTAACTCACCTTCAACACATCGGATGCATAAGATATACATGGACAAAGATACACATACATAAAACCTTAAAGATCTGACAGTGACCCTCCAGAGAGGTGCTGTAAGTGAGCAGAGTGAGGCTCAATACCGAATATCGGGCTCAGTGTAAGATCACTTACAAGTGCCGACAGACCAGTGATCCCGGTGTGTCTGGAACAGACAGTACCCCAACATCCGGCAGTCATCATGGCTGAAACACTGAAGCTCCTTGCCTCACTAAGTGGGTGAGTGTTTAATGCCCCTCAACAACAGAACCTAATGTTATCAGCCGAACAACGGCATTCATCAGGAAGAAGGCACAGAACTACCAAGCAGGATTTCTCACAATAAATCTGATTTGTTTTTGCCAGACACTGTGTCCTTGTACTTGCTTTCTATTTTTACAACATATTTTGGGGAAACGTCTAAGAAAATGCCAAATGTCTCTTCGTTCCAGCTCGCTAATAGTTGGAATCAATGCTCTCAGAAGTGCAGTCTCATCGTATCCTCGTCAGAGCTGCTTCCAGGTTGAAAACCGCTGAGTCACCACGTTGTGGTGGTGGCTCCTGGTACGTGTTCTTCCTCTTGTCTGACCTTCCTCTCAGTACCCTGGGCCCTTCCTGCCACAGGAGCAGAGGCCCGAGGAGGGCCATGGCACTCAGGCAGAAGCTATGGATCCAAATGGAATGAAAGTTCGTGCATCTGCTTTCCTTGCCTCAAAGACAAAAAGAGGATCAAATCCCTGCAAGAAAAACAACTTTAAAATCCGAAGCAATGAAGTACTGTGAAGGCAATACAGATTCCATCTTAGGGAAGGGCTACCATCTTAGACCACCTGCTGTACTCAGTTCCAAGAAGGACCTCAGGAATGTGCCATGACAACTGGAATGGATACAGAGCAGTATGCTCCCACAGACATCCTGTCTGTGGTTTATGGCCTTTGAAGATATCTAGATAATCCTGCTGAGCAGTCCAGATAATCCTGCAGGTTGTGGTTCCCCACCAAAAGTCTAACCCAATGGTTTCAAATGGGTTTTTTTGCCCAAAGTCTAGACCAATAGTTTCAAAAAAATCACCTTGCCCCATATCCCTTCTACCCAATCCCAAATTGTCAAAGCATGTAATTCCTGGCTTGCGGTTTTTCCCTATAAAAACTCTCTACACCTGGGCTCCTGGCTGCCACCACATTTCCCTCTATCTGCCTGGTGGTGGCCCAGGTTGAACCTGACAATAAAAGGACCCTTATATGCTTGCATTGGAAACCGGCTCCTTGGTGGTCTCTGGGCGTTTTGAAAAATGGGTACAACAGTACATGTGTGTTAGACACTTGGCATGGAGTTCTCTCGAGGCCTCCCTGTCTTTAATGTCTGATCATGAACAATGCTTTTCTAATAATAAAGGTTTTGTTAACAGGATTCAGCTTTGACTTCTTACAACACATTAGCAGCATCACCTTTCCAAGACAGAAGAAGCAGAATGCCTGACTGTGTCCTATGAGGCCCTAATATGTGGGTGGAGGGTGCTGCTGACATGTCTCTCAGGGATCCAGTGAGTTTGTGATCTTTTTGGTGGCATCTTTTCTTACAATGTCCTTAGCAATTATAGTGACACAGTGATATTTTATTTCCTAACTGATGTGGAATCCATCCTACTGCAAGCAAAAGGATTTTGTAGACAAGAAGTGCTTTCTGTGTGACTCTGTAGACAGAAGTTTCTGTCCCTCTAGCAACTCCCAAATACCCAGCAGCCACTTCCCAAATTATACACAGAGGCTTACATTAATTATAAATGTTCGGCTAGTAGCTCAGGCTTATTACTAACTAGCTCTTACACTTAACCCATAATTCTTATCTATGTTTAGCCATGTGGCTTGGTATCTTTACTCAGTATGACATTCTCATCATGCTTCCTCTGTGTCTGGCTGGCAACTCTTGACTCTGCCCTTCTTCCCAGCCTTCTCAGTTTTGCTGCCCCACTTATACTTCCTGCCTAGCTACTGGCCAATCAATGTCTTACTAAACCAATTTGAATGACAAATCTTTACAGTGTGTAAGAGGATTCTTCCACAGCATGTCTCCATCATGTTTGTGTGTCCATGAAACAGTAGAGAACAATTCCAAAAAGTAACAATATAAAAATAGTTCAACATACAGAATACATTCCACTATAATAACACAATATAAGAATGAAATGCAATGTCCTATTAACTTCTATGAAAATTAGAGACATGAATCAAAGGAAAACAGGATTCATTGTGGTTAAGTTCTAGCCATGATGCTAATTGTCACACAGCTGGAAGAAAATTACATTTTCTGAAATTCAATTTTATATAAACATGCTGGTTTCTTTTCTGCACTTTCCTCCTCTTTCTAACCCCTAAAATGTCTGTTTCTATCTCACCTTCTCTCTGCAGGATCATACCCAGAACCATCACTGAGAACACTATCTCACACACTGCCAACTCTACAATTCTTTCTTACCTCTTTTAGGATTCCACTAAGCATCTACACCTTAATATATGTGAGGCAAAATGTCAGCTTCCATGACTTAGTAAAATGGCTTTTCCAGGTGTAAATATTGCGTATCTGATAATGTTAAGGAATTATATTAAATTTTTTAGTAACAATGACAGTGTTTGGGTCATTTCAAAAAGGATTTTTTACAGCAAAAAAGAATAGACATATGAGCTCTGAAATACAGGATTTGAGTAACTAGGCTAGTGGGGTCCTTATGGTGCTGGATGAGAAGAATCAGAATGAAGCAAATCCGTAAGAAGGACAGAGGCCTCCGTGAGCTGATAAATATGGCCGCTGGCTGATGACTGTGGAGTTCTGATATGCTACCTTTTCCATTAAGTCTCATTAAGGAAACTTTGGAAAGAAGCCTCCCATTTCCCACCTTAAAACAGGCCATGTCCTGCTGCTGCACCCAGAGGCATGACCTGTGCCCTGTGCCTCCAACATCTCGCTCATCTGTAGGACTTCTGGCTGGAGTGACCCAGGCATGTCTGTGAGTCAGTACCAGGGCTGGGGTACTGGGCCTTGGGAAGAAGCCAGGACCAGGATTAGGAAAGTGACCCAGCAATTCTGACAGGATCAGAGAGGCCAATAGGCATTTGCCTTTTGTTTTCCATCTTGCTCTGCATCTGAGGTAAAAATTAGTACAAGGTTTTGATTAGAACAGGAAACTGATCAGATTTACATTTTACAAAAAAAAAAATCAATACAGTATGTGAGCAATAGTCAGGGGCCAAGGGTGAGACAGGGATGCCAATGAGGAGTTCCTCTATAGCTCAGTATCTTTCCTGTCATGCTCCACGACCTCAGCCATCACCTACACAGACCCTGCTCCCTTCCTATACATAGATATCAGCAGCTCAGTAGACACAGTGGTTGATGACATGGATTTCTGTGGATAAGCAGATGACATTATTAAACTAAGTACTCTAATTACTCCATTCTCCTTAAGATGTCATCATGGTGGCTATGCTCTAAAATACGGGTGGTATGGCTCATACCCCTGCTACTAAGCCCCTGGGATTCCACCCATCTCAGTGTGCCACAGAAAGGGCACAGCCTTGTGTCAGAGAACGTGATGTTATCACCAGTAGGTGGTGATCTCCCTTGCAGTGACCTGAGAATTACAGTCTCCTGTGACTGTGACTGCAGAGCCTGGTGGGGCCACAGCAGAAACGTTGCCTTCTCCAAAATACCTCGGCTTGTGGAAGGCACTGTCTCCTCTGCCGTTGTCCTGCCATGGGAACCTGGCTTTCCTTATGCCCAATAGTACACTTACTGGTGTTTAGCAAGGCTGAGGAGCCACATGAGAGTTCTCACAGAGGTGCCATTTAAGTATTTCTCAGGAGAAAGTTTGAAATCCTAGGTCCCTGTGGTCTGACTCATCCCATCTAGGCCAGGTTTACTCATCATTGTTAGCCTTGTCTGAACTCTTGATTTTATTGAGACCCCAGGTCATGTCAGTCAGCATGGCTGTCCCAGCACACAGGAAGGAGCAGGGTGGAGCTTGCTCAGGAGAGCAGATCCTGTTTCCCTTTGGTTGTAAAATAATGGCTTCTGGGTAAGGCCTTGTGGTGTGTTGGGAAGCAGGCAAAGAGGTCACATGTTGTGATTCCTACTCTGTACAAAGAGAAATAAAGAGAACCATGTTAGCAGAAGTTCCACCCATACACGGGGCTCTTATCTCTTCGTAGCAAATCTTAGGTAAACCCAGGATGGAGCAGAGGCCAAGACAAGCTGTCTGCTCTGCCTCTTGCACTGAGGTCACGCTCCCAGCAACCCCTCTCATGCCTCCACTCCCTCCCTCCCTGCTGCAAGCTCACCTAATTGACTGAGGGAGACCATGGACTACGGAGCTGGGGAGATCTGTGTGTGCATCTTAACATCCCCAAGTTTTTCCAAACTTGGATCTTCTCTCTGAGACACAGTGGTGTATTGGTGACGTTTTGTTTGTCCTCTAATAAATAAAGTTTGGCTGGAGATCAGAGGGCGGAGCTAGCCACTAGAAGCCAGACAGTGATGGCACACACCTTTGATCCCAGTACATGGGAGGAGGAGACAGGAACTGATATGGCTGGGCAGAGAGCAGTGATAAGGCAGGGTGGAGACAGGACTCTTCCTTTTCAGTGTCATGATTGCTAGAGCTAAGAGTCTTTCTAATGGCTGGCTGCTCTGCTCCTCTGATCTTTGGGCTTTCACCCTGGTATCTGACTCCGGGTTTTAATGATTAAGACCAATTAGAATTTGCGCTACAGTGGGGCACCTATTCCAAAGCTAACATCATAGGAGAGCTTGGGATCTCCACACAGTGGTTCTCAGCAGCTGTTAGATGTGAGTGTTTCCACTGAAGACCAGAGAAGGACTAACTTCAACATTCAACTATGAACAAGGCTGTAAGGGAATGTGATGCCTGAGGAAAAGAGGCAATGATTAGAAGACAGTGTAGGCCGTGTGCCGAGGCCTCACTTGAGGCCTCACTATCGAAATCCTCAAAATGAATCATGGGAAGACAGTCAACCTGTTGTCTAGAACCCAGAGGTAGCAGGGAAAACACTGTTCTCGTCAGGGCGGTGGGGTAGGAGTTGGCATCTGTTACTGGTGCTCCTGAGACGGTCTGCACCATTCTCCTCCATGCAGCCTCTTCTCACAGTGAGTGGTTTGATGTCGGGTCCCTTCTCATAGTTTTGCAGAAGCCTGCCTGCCCAGAGTAAACTGCCCCCACCAGAAACTGCACTGGGGTCCGCTCCATCTCCATGGCTGAATTACTGAAACACAATGTAAAATAAAAGTGAGCCCAGCACAGACACAAGGAGGACATTAATCCTTCACCACAAGGGGAAGCAGTGGTGCGCTGTGAGGAGGGTCACCCCTGCAGACTGGGCACTGGGGGAAGCAGCTTACTGGCTTGCCTGCCTGAGGAGTTCTCTCTTTGGTGCTGATAAATTCCATTTCGCTCTTCTCGATGTCATTATTCAGCACTAAAACAAAACTGGCTTAATGATGCCATGAGCAGTGTTTACATCGAATCTGTATCCTGTTTACCCCAATTTTAAAAGGTATGTCTCCAAAGGACTGGTAAAAACTGATTTATAGATTTTCCTTGTCTAATTAGCCTGTGATTTCAGTACGTGCATGACACATGTCCAAGCTTGGAAGCATACTTTCCTCTTGTGGCATATTTGTGGTTCCAAACAGCCTGCCTGTAGCAACAACTGAAGTTACTCCT